GGGGCCGGCGCGGCCTCAGCATGGACGTGACGGTGTCGGAGCTCATGGAGCTCTTCCTGCAGAGCCCGCTGGTGACCTGGGTGAGTGCCCGGGCTCCTCACCCCTTTGTCGGTGCACCGGCTCCTCTCCAGCCGGCCGGGGCGCCGGGAGACTCAACCCTTGGGACGCGGGGACGCAGCAAGTGGGATCCGCCCGAGCCCGGAGGCGTCTCCAACTCTCGAGTCCGCCACGCTGCGCGCCGGGCTGGGGCCGAGCGGCTACACCTGTTCCCGCCGGGGCAAGGGGCCGCCGGTCACCTCCCTGCGCCCCCAGGGCTGGACCTCTCCGGAAAGTGCCTCCACTTCCCAGATGTGACCCGGCGTGTCTTCCGAGCCCCAGAGGCCGGCTGCGACCCGTGGGAATCGGGGGGCGCCGGTGGGAACGCCCACAGACTTGGGTGGGCGCCGTGCTTTGCGGGGAGAGACGTGAGAAATATACTGAAAAGTCTTCTTTTTTTTCCGCGCTGGGACGCTGGAGGAAAGTGGCGAGGAAGTTTGCCTCCCGCTGGCTCGCGGCTGTTGCCTGGTGCGGGGAGGGAGGAGGCCCGGGAAGGGGCAGTTAGTGCCTGGGGAGGGTGGGTGGGCGTGGGTCACCCCCTGCACCCCGGCTTGGCCCACCTTCGGGTCCCGACAGCTTTGGGCCGGTTTCCCGCGTGGCGCTGACTTTTTTCCTGTGCTCTCCGCACCTCCCTTCCTGCAGGTGAAAACTTTTGGCCCCTTCGGAAGCGACAACCAGGACAACCTGACCATGTACATGGATTTGGTGGACGGCATCTTTTTGAACCAAATCATGTTGCAAATGTAAGTGATCGCCTTCTTGAAATCGAGGACGTTTAAGGTGGAAAGGTTGTAGTGGGAGAAATTCTTTGCAGCTGGGGGGCTCTCTGGTATTTTTGATTCTTCTGGTGCCCTTTCGCGTTTGGAGAACCCAAGGACCGCGCGGGCTTGGAGTTTGGGTGAAGGAGAGCAGCAATTGAGTTTGGGTGAAGGAGAGCAGCAATTAGGTGACTGTCGTCCACGTGGCATAGACAGGGCCGTTGACTTCAAACTCAGGTTCGCATGGTGCTTTGGGGATGAAATGCAAAAAAAAGCCTTCTTTCTTTGGGGCGCCACCACACTGTAACAGCGTGTCAGGTGACAGGAAGTGCGGGGTGGGTCCTGAGCGTCCTTGGTGACGGTTAAGTTTCAAACTAGGTGAGAACACCTGTGTTTTTGAGCGTTTTTCATCTTTGTCCCCTTGCCCAGGGCTAAGCACCTCACCTGAGCATGAAGTGGCTTTGTTTGGAGAAGACTAGGGGCGCAGTTTCCCCCTCACCCCCCTGTTTGTTTTGAAGCAGGTGGTTTAAGCAGAGTTTGGGTAAACGTTCCACTTGCTGGTATGCACATCTGACCACATCCTTTCCTGTTGCTGAATTCTGCAGTGCATATCTGCCTGTCTTTCTGTCTGCCTGACAGCCTATCCCTGTGTAGGTGTCTGGCTCCTAAGACTGCTGTTCTGTTTTTAACTCAGAAACTGCAGGGAACATATTGGCACGGATTGTGTTATGATTCACAGCCCGGGAAAGCAGAGGAAAACCTCCAGTGTTCTCTGCGCCCAGCCCTAGCACGCACCTACGAGGCTGTTCAGATGATAAACCTATTAGCTAATGAGAATCCGCCTGGGCTGGGGCTTCTGGAGGATGGGTGGTTTGCTTTGGCACAGCCAGAGAGGGTTTGAAATCTACTCTGCCTCAAAATGCCTGTCAAAAAAAAAAAGAGGCGCAAACTTCCAAGAACATTGCTGCTTTTGTCTTGCAGAGTCCTTTGGTGTTGTGCGCTCTGGGAGAGAGACTTCAGTTGATTTAGTTAAAAAGCAAAACCAGAAAACAGCCCTCTCACAGGCTTTCCTGCTTGGTCAGCTTTGGCAGTTCTTCTGGGAGGACACGGTGATGAAAATGGCTTTTCATGGGGTTGCCTGATTTGTCTCCCGCAGCCCTGCCCTCGCCGTGTCCTGCGAGATCTCGAATATTCTTGGATTCACTTGGTGCCACGGCCAGAGAAACTTCAACCTGTCTTTCCCCAAACCCACGCCGTTTAATTAAAAAAACCAGCAGCGCACCCAGGCTTTTTCACTCTGCTTTTCCACCAGGGCTGCGGCGAGAACAAAGCCTGGGGACTCGCTCTCTTTCTTTCCCTGACCTTTGGAATTCCTCAAGCGTTTACCACTTGCTTGTAAATCAGGGGAGCCTGTCCCAGTGGGTCCCTGTGAAATGCCAGCTCATCACAGACTCACATTTGTCAGGAGGTGAGGGGCTAAATTCATGTAAAGTCTTCCTCACCTCACCTCATCTTCCCATGTTAGAAATTGGAAATTCCTTTTTCCCTTCCACTGTGATAAGCTTAGGTAATCAGTCTGGAAAGTGGGAACTGGCTGGCTGTAGGAGTTAGGGAGCTGATCCTGGGCACCCCCTGGCTGGGAATGGGTGGCTCTCAAAGACAAAGAGACAGAATGGTGATGAGCCTGGTGCCACCAGGAGCATAGGACTCACTGATTGGGTGACCAGAGATCCCAGGCTCTGGGTGAGGGAGTAAGAACAAGTTTAACCTCTCTGGAGGTGGGTGAGAGAGGCTTGGCCAGGCGGCATGGGAACTTCTAGGAGTGGTAGAGGTGTCCTTTATCTTGACTGAGGCATGACACATTCCACCACACTCTTCAAGCCGTAATGGAAGACGTATGCGTTTCCTGCTTGCAAAAAAAAAAAAGAACCCTAAATTGCCGAAATTTTTTTAAATCGAAAGAACCCTGGCTCCATTGTTGGGCAGCCTGGGTCGCCTTCATTCTAGCTCTGTGATGCTGGGCGTGTTAACAGGAAGGCCTCAATTTCCTCATCTGTCAAGTGGGAAGTAAAAGCTGGTTGTGAAAATTAAATGAAATGATATGTTTGCGTTTAGCTGGAGGGGGATTTAATAAGAGGCCTAGGTGGCACGCTGGCTGAAGCGCTCAGCTGCTGACAGAAAGCTCAGTGGTTGCAGCCCACCAGCTCTTTGATAGCAGAAAGCTGGGGCTGTCTGCTTCTGTAATGATCACAGCCTTGTTGTGAACCCTCGAGGGCAGGGGTCGTCCGAGTTGGAATTGAGGGAGCTGTTTAGCAGCTGTTAATATCAGGTATGTGTACCCTCTACAGTTCATTTTCCAGCCGGCTCCCTCCTGCAGGTTCCTAGTGCCCCAGCTGACTGTCCACAGGAGGGGTGAGGTGGGGGGGGCAAGCTCTGCACCCCAAGTCCTGCCTCTGTTTTCACTTCTGCAAAATGGTGACACCCCACTAACTAAGTTAGCAGGCTGTAGTAAGACTCCTGGCATCCCCATGCTGGCAGGACCGAGGACATGCAGAGAGCAGAGCACTTACTGCTAACCGTTCTAGGAGCGCAGACCTGAGGCCTGTTACCTAACACTGCACAGCCACATGGAGCTGGCTGCCTCACGTGACTGCACCTGGCCATTGTCTCCGGCAACTGAAGAAGGCTGCAGCGGTCCCCGGGCCCTGGCCTCCCGGTGACATCAGCACTGGGAAGCAGGAAAGCCCGAGGGCTCAGCTTTCAGGTGAGGGAGGCCCAGGGTGAAGAGGATTCCCGAATGAGTGTGGTGGACACGCCTGGGCATTCGGCTGGTCACGTCATGTGTAAAGGCAGCCTCTCCCAGAGTCCAGGGGTCTCCAGGGGAAGCTGGGGGCTCTGGTTGAGTGGGAAAGATTCTCCACTGTGTCCTAGGAAAGTCATTTAAGGGTCTTGATGCTGGCACCGTGTAGACACATTCAAATTCTTATTGACAGCTTTCTGCTGCTGGTACCCTGGGTTCTCCCAGCCTCAGTTTACCAATCTGTATTACGGGAATGAGAATTCAGGGTTTGGAGGATGAATGAACTCAGATTATACATTATCAAGATGGCCAACAAAGGCTAATCATTATTATCTGTCCTTGGTGCTGTGGGCTAAGCTTTGTGAAGAGTGAATCCTGGACCTCTTGAGTGTGTGTGTGTGTGTGTGTGTGTGTGTGTGTGTGTGTATACACACACCAGCATACACTACCTTTTTCAGAGTAGACCCCTTTTGAGAGAGAGTGTGTGTGTGTATACCAGCATGTTGTTAAGTGCTGTCGGGTTGTAGACTCGGAGACCCTATGAACTGAAGATCTGGAAACTTGTATAATTTTCATCATTTCTCCGAGTTCATAGGATTTCTGGAGGCAAGCTATTTTGGAAGTGGATGCCACTCCTGCTTCCAAGCTTGCTTTTTTAATCAGGAAGCTCCACCAAACACTGTCCACCATGGGTAACCATGATCACATTTGACACATCAATGTCACAGTGTTCAGCTTCACAGCAACCACAAGTTACCTCTGTACAGCAAATGGTCAGACCGGTGCTATACCACTTAGAAGAATGTTTGACCAAAACAATTAAAACCAGGCCTGAGGGCTACAGATTAAAATCACCCACCTTTGACTTGGTAGCATCGCTTTTTGTCCACTAGGCCAGCTGAGCTCTCTCTATGATGTTGTTGTACATTATCTTTTTCAGAGTAGACCCCCTCTGGTTCTTCACCTTTTGTTTAGTGCCTTTGGGAAGTCAGGACTGGCTGGGACCCTCGGAACCAAATACCAAACCCAGCAGCCCACTGTGATTGAGTTGAGTCTGACTTGTAGCGACCCTTCGTCACACTTCTGAGGTTGGACTGGATAGCTTTGCAGGAGGAAACTGCCCGTCATGCTCCCTTGATCCAACTGCTGACCTTCCCGCTCAACACATAACTCACTTAGCACTGGGCCTCCTTGTGCCCCCAGGAGCCATGGGGCGAATTCAGTGCTGCTGGCTTTGTTTACCTTCTGGTGCGAGCTACAGAATTCAGGATATCTTACTTATTAAGAGCCAAGCATCTTCAGAGCAATGAGAAGAGTTTGTGTTTCTAAGAAAAACCATTTGAAGGTGTTTTTTTTTCCCCTTTCTGAGTGCTTGAAGTTGTCAGGTTGGTTCTGACTGACAGTGACCTGATGTCAGTAGAGTGGGCCCTTGCCTGGTCCTGCCCCATCCACGTGGTTCTGCTGTGTTTGGGCCCATGGTTGCATCTGCTGTCTTTCCATCTCACTAAGGGCCTTCCTCTCTTCTGCTGACTCTCTTTATGAACATGAGGTCCTTCTCCAGGGCTTGGTCCCTTCTGGGACATCAAACTATGGGAGACGAGGTTTCCCTGGAAGAGTTAGAGTCCCAGTTTGCAGATCAGTGGAGGCCGGAGAGCTCGTACTTGTTGGTTAAGTGTGTTGCAGCAAAGAAAGACATTGGAGTAAAAAAAGTTTTTCCTTGTAAACTCGTAAACATTTCCTCTTTTGGTGGCAAACTATTACTGTCTTAATTCAAAGCCCTCTGTGCAGAAAATACAGGGAAAAGTTGTGTTCTGGGAGGAGAAGAGGAACATACCGATAAGTAAAATAAAATTCACCTCGCACCCCATCAAAGGAGCAGTGGATTGAACACCGGGCTGCTAACTGAAAGGTTGGTGGTTCTAACCTGCAAGCTGCTTTGCAGGAAGTTGAGACAGTCAGATCCTGTAAAGATTCCCAGCCTCAGAGCCCTGTGGGTCTGTTGTGCTCTGTCCTGAAGGTCAGCATTCTGTGGAGGCAGCAATGTTAATATTCTAGGACCTTCCAGATGTTGCCTCTCGTGTACCTGATATAAATATGCTAGTGCTACCAGTTTCGGGGGCTTTCTTAAAGAAATTTGCATCAGTTTGTTCTCCATGTGTTCACGCTTTTTGTTCTGTGTCCCCTGGTCCAGCTCCCCTGCCTGTCCTTGCCCTCTCTGTCATATTTGCTTCTGGGGAAATGGTGACCGTTTGGTGGCTTCCAGCTGATTGTATGGGGGACACGTTACCCGTGAGTGATCTGTGTACTGGACAGTGTGTTATTTGGCTAAAGAGGTGGTGGTGGTGTTTTGTATTGTTGAGTTGGAACCAACCCATAGCGGAACCTCCCGGGAGTTTTCACAGGCAGTAAATTGCACGGGAGGAGATTACCCACTCTTCTACCACGGAACAACTGGAGGATTCGAACCCTGTGCTTTTGGGATTGCAGTGCAGCTTCTTACCACTGGGCCACCAGAGCTCACTAAGGAGATGGCAACGTCCTGATTTCACAATCTGGCCCTCACCTGTCTGAGCTAGCGGTCTGTTTAGAGTCTTCGGATGTGGAACTTGGAAAGTGTGCCCAGCTGCCTGTTGCTTGCCTTTTCATCTCTGTCCTGCTGCTGAGTGACAGGACACACACACAGAAACACACACACACACACACACACACACACACACTTTTGTGTCATGGGGCCCTGGTATAAAGAAGGTCCTTCCGGAGAAATAGCCTGATAATGTCCTTTTCCTGGGATAGAGAATCTTGGACAGGCCACCCAACCAAATCCACGACCATTGCTTCCGACACATGGCTGTCCCTGGAACCAAGTAGCACTGCCCTTAGACTTCTCACACGGGCAGACTGCCTCTTCTTTCTGCCAGAGTGGCTGGGGGCTTTGAACCCCCAGCCTTTTTGGTTAGCTGTCTGATCCTTAATCCACTATGCACAGAGCTCCTTAAAGTGTGAACCTGGAGCAGTCCGTCCCTGTCCCCTGCAAACCGCCACAGAGGTGGTGATACGTGCATGCGCTGTCTACGCACCACCTACCAGCTTGCTGATTCTTTTGTTTTGATTTCTTGGTAATAACCACTATTTACCCTGTGAGTTTCCTTGAGGGGACTGCGACTGACTGGGACTAATTAGTCAAGTTAATGCTACAGCAACTGTCAAGGTTCTCTGAGAGTGTGGTTTCAATTAGGGATTCCCTCCTCCCCAGAACAAGAACGAGATCTGGTGGCACATCGCATTTTGTGTTGTGCTGTTAACTGTAAGGTCGCCTGTTTGAATCTGCCGTTTACTCTGAGAGAAAGACGTGCCGTCATCTTCTATAGAGATTCGTAGTCTCAGAAACCCAGTGGAGGTGTCTGTGAGTCAGAGTCCACTCCCTGGCTGTGGGATTAAAGGGGGGATAGTCTGAGGCTTCCCTGACCGTTAGCTGATGGAAACCCAGGTCACTGGATGTGGAAGGACACCTGGGCTTTCCCTCTCTGCACAGATCCCGTCAGATGTCAGCAGAACCTAGGGAGGCAGTAAGAAGGAGCATGCTCTCCGAGTTCTGCTATTTTAGGAACAGGTCTGTCACTTTATGAAATTGCTTCTCGTCTCTTAATGCGTCTGTAGTAGAGGCCGGGGAATTGCATCTTTAGGATAATTGATTCTGTAATGCCAGGTTTCAATTCTCTGGGGTTTAAATTCTGAGTGCTTCTCTCCTCCAGGACTCTCCTCTCAGAAATGAGCAGCTCCAGGGGGGACATGCACTGTGGAGACGGCCTGGCCCTGTGGACGGCTTGCCCCTGTGGACAGCCCGGCCCTGTGGACGGCCTGACTGTGGGGACAGCCTGACGGGTGGGCCCAGTGGATGGCCTGGCCTTGTGGATGGCTTGATGGGACACCTTTCCTGGGTGGGGATCATAAGAAAGGTAGTGAAATGACAACTGGAGTACTGCCTCTGGTCACCCTCGAGGATCACGTGACTATGAGGGGACACCTGATGCCTGAATAAAGTCCACAGCTGACCATTATGCAAAGGGGTTGGCCTTATATATAACAAGGCGAGGGCTTGAAGTGTAAATCTCAAATATTTACTTAAGGGTTGAATTTTAAACAACCTGCAGGTCCAAAAGTGGCTCTTCCAGTGACATTTGAAATGACTTCTTATTTGTCGCCTTTCTGATAATTGGCTTTGAATACACCCAGTGGCATAACTCTCGCAGCCCTGGTGCCATTTGGGGAAGGAGGGCAGACCCTGCCTGTCACCCACCAACCCCCAGCTGGCTTCTGTCCCATCACAGGCATGATGACAAGCCCCTGTTTGAATTCTCCAGCCCTCGGGGTGTCTTGGGACAGTCATTTGGGGAGCAGGCTTTGTTATGGAAAGCAGCAAGCTAACTTAACCCTCCCCTGTCTGCCTTCTGCAGATGGAAAGTGATTTTTTGACACTTGGAGTTTGGACAAATGCCCTGCATGTAGTTGAGACGGAGGATAAATCGCTGGATTTCGGTTCTGCTTTTCGTCTCCCCCAGACCTGCCTTTTGCTGAAGGTTGCAAAAGGAGTGACAGGTTGGGGATTTCCCGCTAGAACGGCTTTGTCTCTAACCGTGTACTGTGATGTCGATTCGGACTCAGGGCGTCTCTGTGTGTGTCAGGGCAGCCTTGGGCTCCATTGGGTTTTTAACGGCTGATTTTTTTCAGAAGTCAGTCACCAGGCCTTTCCTCCCAGATGCTTCTGTGTAAACTCGAACCCCTGACCTTGTGGTGAGCAGCAAGTGTGTTAACTGTCTCTCTCACCTGGAAACTCCTTTCTTCTCCTTTCTCTTGGTAGCACACAGTGTCATTGCACGCCACACGTTGTCACAGTTCAGTTATGTTAGTGTTTTGGGATAGAGTTATGTCCCTGAAATACTGAATGCCACAGACAGGACCAGCCCAAGTCCCTTCTTGGGGGAGAAGACAGGATCCATGGTAGATATATTGATCACTAATTGATTGGCTTAACAAAGCCAGGAAACAACCCGCCTTTTTCTTTTTCTGTCATTCTTGATGCATGAGAAAGAATGGACTGGTCTGGAGAAAGTGCAGCCAGGGTGCTCCGTAGAGGTGAGGACAGAGGGACCTCCCTTCACATACTTTGGACATATTGTCATGAAGGACTAGTCCCTGGAAGACTGACGTCATGTTTGGAAGAGTCAGGGGTCAGTCACTGCAAGCAATGGATTTGAGCACAGCTGAGATTGTGAGGATGGCGGGGGTTGGGCAGGGCTTTGTTTTGTTGTTTGTTGGTGGGTTGCTATGAGTTGGAATTACCTGGGTCGCATCCAGCCACCACCATCCCCCCCACCCCCATTCTCAAATAAAAGCCCTGGAGGTGCAGTGGGCAAGTTGCTTGGTTGCAAACTGAAAGATTGGGTGCTTGAATTTGTAAGGTGCTCCAAAGAAGAAAAATAAAACAATCTATCTGGTGGCTTAGTGGTAAGGAGTTGCACTGCTAACACAAAGGTATACAGTTCAAATCCACCAGCTTCTCCTTGGGAGAAAGATGGGCTCTCTCCTCCTGTGGCTCTGATAATTTACTGAAGGGTCAGCTGAGGGTCTTTTCCAACTCAACAGTGCACAACAACTACAACTTTTGTAAAGATTATCAAAACTCCTTCCCACTGTGTCATCGACTGCTCATAGCTGCTTTTCCGTGGGGTTTCTGAGCCTGTGCATTACCTGGGAAGAGATTAACCATCTTCTTCCCACAGAGATGCTGGTGGATTAGAACTGTGCAGCATTAGGACTAGCAGGTCAGTGCCCTGTGGACTGTGCCACCAGAGCGCCTTCCTAAACATCGTCCTCATGGTTCTGTGCTGTAGAGTCAGACCCCCAGCTCACAGCTGACCCTCCAGGGAGAGTTCAGAGGCTGGAAATTGCAGGAGAGGAGCTTGCCCGTCTCTTTCCCTCGGAGCAGCTGGAGGATTCGAACTGTGTGCCTTTGAGTTTGGCAGTGTGGCTCCTTACCCTCTAGGCCACTAGAGCTACCTTCCTGATGATTACAGCCTTGGGACCCTGTGCTGTGGGGCATGTTCTGCTCTGCCCTAAAGGGTCACTGTGAGTCAGTATCTATCTACTTGATGTTGGTGGGGTTTGGGTTTTTGGGCCCATGTTGCTATTTCACATATGTCGGTTGGCTCCATTTGGACTCCTTTTAATCTAGAATTATGTATTTCGTGAGGTTAACGACTTTTAGACTAATTAACCTTTTTGTGTCTAAGCTTACACATGGTGGTTGCTGAGTGGAAATAGAAATAACATTCATTAAGGGTCTGTGGTGAGCTAGGGGCTGTGATTTGTTTTCTCCTTGGAAACCAGAGCAGCTTAACCACGTTCATCATATGGAGGCAGGAAAGGAGCCCTGGTGGTGGAGTGGATTAAGAATGTGTCTCTTAATCAGAAGGTCGGTGGTTTGAGCCCACCAGCTGCTCTTCAGGGGAAAGATGAGGTGTTCAGCGTCTGTGAAGATATGCAGTCTAGGGACATTTGTACTCTTCCTTACAGTGTCTCTGTTAGAGTGAACTCGGTGCCGAGGAGGATGGGTCGGGGCAGGCAGGTGACAGAGCCACGGCTTGTGAGAGGCAGAGCCTGGAGTCGAGCTGAACTGTCATGGCCTGACAGTAACTGGACGTGGTGCTGGCCGGGAGGGGAAGTGAGGAGGTGTCATTTCTGACACTCACTGTGTTTCTTCCCGTAGCGACCCCAGGCCGACAAACCAGCGCATCAACAAGCACGTCAACAACGACGTGAACCTGCGCATCCAGAACCTGACCATCCTGGTGCGGAACATCAAGACCTACTACCAGGTAAGCGAATGCGCTCTGGTGACGCAGCGGTGAAGCGCTTGTCTGCCACCCTAAGGTGGGCAGCTCAGACCCACCAGCTGGTCCTCAGAAGAAGGGTGTGGCACGCGACCTGCCGCAGCCTCGGAAAACCCAGGGGGCAGTTTCTCCTCCCTGCAGTGTCGCTGGGGGTCAGGATCGACTCATCCGCCGTGGGTCACGGGGTTTACCAGGTTAGGGCTCTTGTATGCGTGTCTGGCGATGTAATCACCAGACCGGTTTCCTGCAGGAAGCCGAGAGGAAACGGTGACCGAGTGTAGGTGTTTGCACGCTGACATGTGGTGTGTTTTCCTTGAACTTTTATTATTTGGCACGGGGGAATGGTTGGACGGGTGTTGGAGCTGCGTCACATGTGGGCAGGCGTTCTGGCAGCCGAGTCCGCCGTCTGTGCTTCGGGTCACAGGACCCCAGAGGGCCTGGTTCATGGCTTCGGCTGCACACATGGTGGAACAGAGGCCTGGCTGGCCTGCCTCCCCTCAGTCCTGCGGTTCCAATACAGCAGTAACTGAAAGCGACAGCACCCTGGTGGCAAGTGAGCCTCCAGCCTGCAGACCTGGGGTGACCATGTGGAGAGCCTACTTTTTGGGTACTCACTGTGCCTGGATGGACTATGCCTGGTGGGCCAGGCCCGTGGCCGTGTCCCAGCCTCAGGGAGACTGGTTGAGAATCTTTGATGATCTTTGGGTATTTCTGTGACCAGTGTTGATAGGAGGTGTCTTGACCCATGTGCCCTGGGCCTGCTGTTTTCCTGAGGGGCCAAGGATCTGGCCCCCGACTTGGAGGCTCTATCACAGCAGAGGGATTCTACATGTTCTGCATTGTCGCCAGGACTGGTTGTGGGTGGTTGTGATCCATCGGCTGATGTTTGGAAGCAGATTGCCAGGTGTTTCTTCCTTGTCTCTTTCATTCTGGCAGAACCACCAGAATCTCCCTGGCTTCTTTGCAGTACACAGGCCTCCGCTGATGGACGGGAAGGGTGGTGGCCTCAGCACGTCCTCTTGTGAGCGCCACGTGGAGCGGGAGTTGGGCTGAAGTACTGCTGGGGGTCCGGCCGTGGAGGGAGCTGTCTGGTGACTCTGCAGAGGGCACTTAGCCCATATCCCCCTGGATCAGGCTCTGGGCAGACGCCGGTGTGGACTGAAGTGGCCCCTGTCTGCAGGTGCCCTTCCTGGACTCGTGGTCACAAGGTGCATTCAGTTCTGTGGGCGAGGGGTTCGATCAATAGACTGATGTTTCAGAGGGAAGCGCTCGCTCACCTGGTGTGTGTGGGAGGAGTTAGGAGGGCTTCTCAGAGGAGGTGGTACCCAAGCCGAGTTCTCGGTGAGAGGACAGATAAATCTCCAAGCCTGGAGGGTCATGGGAAGGATGGAAAGGGCAAGAGTGGTCAGGGGGAGCAGGGATGTGGGGCCGAGACAGAACCCCGCCCCCAGCTCCATCCAGATCAGCATTTTCAGTTACTGAAATAACAGGCCTGGTGACCACACTTCAGAAGAGTCAAAACCAAAGAACTCCCGTGAAACCTGCCCACCAGTGTTCGTCTTTGCACTTTGCATGGTCTCCAAACAGTAGACATGTCCATTACCAAGTGAATGGATAAACTCAGAGTGGTGTAGCCATGTAACAGAGTACTAGACAGCCCCAAAGAGCCGTGCAAGGAGCTCTGGTGGCTTAGAAGTAAGGAGTTGTGCTGCCAGCATGAAGGCAGACAGTTCGAATCCACCATCTGCTCTATGGGAGAAAGATGGGCGATCTCCCGTGTGATTTACTGCGTCTGAAAACCTGCTGGAGGGCCAGCTATCAGCGGATTCCGACTCCATAGTGCATAACGACAACAAAGGGCGGGCAGTCCTGGAGCACCCCACAGCTTGAATGAACCTGAAAACAGCACACTGGGCAGAATCAGCCCTTTACAAAAGGGAAAGTACGATGTGTCCTCCGTGATGCACAATAAGCCAACGTAGGACCCAAGGATTGTGGGGTCACAGAATGAGGAAGGGGGCAGAGGGCTTTGGGGTTGTTTGGGGGCAATGCTGCTGTTGTTAGGTGCTGTTGCGTCAACCATGACTCAAAGCAACCATAAGAACAACAGGTCAGAACCTAGCCCTATCCGGTCCATTGTCACCGTCTGTGTTCATGTTGGTAGAATGTTTTGGAAAGGGGTGTCAAGTTTGCTTGCACAAGATGAGAACTGTAATCTGGGTCCTCGTCCTATTAATGTGGACTCTCTAGTATTGGCCACTGTTTTGGCGTGTGTATTTTCTATTACTCACACCAAAATTAAAACTCAGAAAGGATGTGGACAGGAGAGTTGACAGAACAAAACAAAACAAAAATAAGGTGCAAGGTGGGTTTTGTGAGGCTGGCCAGAGCCAGGGTGACCACTCAGCCAGTATGTCCACCCTGCATGTTGCTGGTAGGTGGTCACATGTCGGATTAGAGTGATAAAGGCCTCAGGAGGAGGGCATGTGCTCCCTGAGGGGCAGTTAGTTCCTAGGGTGCCTCTGATTGGGGGATCACAGTGAGGGGCTCAACCACACCGTTGAGCTGTGAACTTGCTGTCCTCTATTCTTGCTGGTCCTGGCAGGACCCACACCATTGGTGACCAGCAGGAAGGAAAGAGGGACCCGGCGTGAGCTCAAGGTCCAGAGAGACATCAGGAAGGGAAGAGGGACCCTGTGTGGATCTTCCACGTGGCACCGTCTCAGGGGAGGCCTGTGGTGCTGGAGACAGGCCTGTGTTACCACATATACAAGAGAAACACAGATTTATGTGTGTTTACCCACTAATCTGTAGTAGGCAGTTCACGTGGGTCTGTAAGAAGCACTAGTAAGCGTGCTCGCCCTGCTAACTTGATTCTCTATCCCTATTGTTAGGTGCCATCGAGTCGAGTCCAACTCATAGTGACCCCATGAACATTAGTACTGAACTCTGTCCTGTGCCACCCTTATCATCTCTGACATACTTGAGCCCATTGCAATGGTCAGTGTGTCATTTGAAGGTGGTCTTCTCTTGCGCTGACCTGCCACCCTTCAAGCATGATGTCCTCTTCCAAGAAATAGCCTCTCTCAGCATCATGCTCAAAGTCTGTGAGACAAAGCTTTGTCATCTCTGCCTCCTCCAAGGAGCATTGTGGCTGCACTTTCTTTAAGATGTACTTGTTTGTTCTGCAGTCCATGGGATGTTCAGTGCTCTTCTCCAACACCACAGCTCAAAGGCATCGAGTCTTTGTCTGTCTGTTGTTCTTATGCATTGTCCAGCTCTTTGATGTGAATCAGGTAATTGAGAGACCATGCCTGTTAGGAATGGTGACTTTGAAAAGCGGCTCTGATTCTATAGGAAGGTTGGGAGAGAGACTCCGGAGGAAGCCCTAGAAGAAGAACCTTTGATACAGTAGAAAAAGGTGAAATCATTAGTAAGTAAGTAAGCACAGATCAGCCTGTGCTTACCTTGTGGATCGGATAATCCAGCCCTGACTGGAAGCCTGAGCCTGGGGTAGTGGTCATTCTGAGATCACTGGCCAAGGGCCTCAGTGTGGAGAAAGGAGGCAGAGATGTGGGGCTGACACACGTTCATTGTACCCCGTCTTCTGTTGGAAGCCTTCCCTTTGGATTTCTATGAAAACAAAGTTTTCCTCCTCTTTGCAAACAGCTTGAAAAGTAAACAAGTGAAGGAAGAAAGAACCGCCCACCAAAATCCCACCACCCAAAGACAATCCCCTCAAGTCATTTTATGTTTCCTCTCAGCCCTTGAATGAATGCTTTTTGTTTTGCTTGATGGTGGTCACACCATGTGTGTGTGTATATGTATATGTATACAATTGCATTTCCTGCCTTTCACCCCACTCCCACCTGATCCTGTGTCACAAACATAATTGGTTGTTATTATAAATGGGTATTCAAGCCCATTCTCCAAAAGGATGCCTGCCCAGCTCCCCCGGCCCCTTTGAAAGGAGCCCTGTGGCTTGGGAGGAAAACAGGGAGCTAAGTGGCGTTCCCACACTAGCTGGCATCCGTCTCAAAGTCCTGACTCCACGGCACCTAACAATGTCTTTTGGAAAAGGGAAGTGCTGGAAAGTGAACTTGGGAAAATTGAGGAGTGTGTGCTGCACCCCGGTTAGCACTGCACCCCTCCTTGTCTCTCCCTGCCCTCTTCTCTCTCTCGTTGCCAGGAAGTCAGAACTGACTCCTAGCTGACTCTCCATTGGGTTTCTGAGGCTGTAAAGTGCACAGATGGGGAGGTTGCCCATCTCTCTCTCTCGGAGCCACTGGTGGATTTGAATCTCCAGAGAGGCTGAGCTTTGGCCCTGTGGACTTCGCCCCTCGAGCCCCATCCCCGCCCGAGAGGTGCCCAGAAGGCCGTGATGCGCCGACTGGGGTGGAGGTGGAGGTCGAGTGAGGTTAGGATGCGCGGGGCAGTTTATCTGTCCTCTTGGCAGAGTGCAAAGAGAGCTCATCAGCTTCGTGCATCTCAGGCCAGGGCGGAAGCAGGGATCCTCTCATGAACATTTTATTTCTTCAGTGATTGTATATCCGTTTTATTACTATACACAGTCACTGGTTTATTAATGGACCGCATTTTTAATTTTATTTTTTTTTGTGCATTATACCGTCAAATCAGATCTAACTGATACAGGAAGAGATTGTCCCTCCTTCTCCAGCAGACCATCTGGTGGATTCGAACCAGGCACATCTGGGATTGCAGTGTAGCTTCTTGCGACTAGGCCATCAGAGCTCCCTAATGGACCACATTTTTATCCGTGGCCCTCGGGCCTGTCTTTCATTGCTTTTGTTCAGAAATTCCTCTAGCTCGTATAGCCCTGGTGTCCAAGTTGTCATACAGTGGTCACTTGTGGTTGCTTTGAGGCTGAACACTGTGACACTGATGTATCAGATGCATTAATGGCTGGCTACCCAATGCGAACAGAGAGTGGGGTGGAGCTCCCCGATTAAAACAAGCTTGGAAGG